CAGCATTTGTGGGTTGGCATACAAGAGACTAGGGCATAGAAAGTAATAGGTTTTGTATTATACATAGATAGAGGATAGAAACAGTGAAAAATTTTTATTGCTGGTTATAGAAACATCACCTCCACTACCAGGGTATAAAAAGGCCTAGCTGAATCCAAATGGAGTTTAATATCGCCATTACGCAGTTTTATCTTAAGTAAGACTAAGAAAAGGTAAAGATGAAGCTATAATGATTATGGCGTACCTGCTATTTCTTTTGAAAATTCGGATGAAAGAGATCGTAAAATAAAATAAAGGATACACCTACCTTCGCTTCATATCAAAGTAGTATTAATTCTACGACAGTATAAGGTAGCCTCATTGAAAGCATAAAATAAACCGCGAGTAAAGATGTGGGAAGAAGGCAAGACATTGTAAAGATTCCAGAATTTATTCATAGGTTGGAAGGTAAGTAAAGAAACTGAATGGGAAGGTATGTTGTGGCTTTTAACTCTTGGCAGCAGAGTGAGTTGAAATAACGGAAATAAAGATGGCGAACAAGGAAATAGGGAGGAGAAGCAAGAGGCCAAGGGAAATTAAATCAATGAAGCTTGCTTTGCGCGAATTTATTTGCCAATTCAACGACTTCGTCCAAGGCTGCTAGTTGAGTTCCAATCGCCTGGGCTGAGGTTTCCTTTCCGCCGGCCTTGCCTTTCATCGCCTGTGCGACACTAGCCGCCCATTCATTAGCTCTGAGGCCCTTGGCAACTACGCTCTAGAAAAATCAAGGTAGAAGTAATAAGATACGTTGATAAAAGAAGGATAATTAATGAAAGCGAAAAAACTGGACAATAATAAGGTAAGTGCATGTATATCTATAAGAGGTAAAAATAAAAACTAAAGCTGTCCAGAGCCCTAGAGTATTTATATAGCTTTAGACAGTAACAAGCATAAGGCAAATAAAAGCTAATTACTAACTATTTAAAAAAATAGTGTGGCTAATAAGATGCGTAGCTAAAGAATAATTGTCTTTAAGATCTCACCTTGGGCACTTGAGCTAAGCAGATTATCTTTCCAGAAGAAGTGTCTGAAGAGATAGCCATCATGGCGGTGTTTGGGCAAAGTTTGTCAAGCTCTTTTAAAGCCTGGTTAAGAGTTTTAGAATTGGCTTCTGCCTGGAACACATGGACTAAATAGTCGAAAACTGATGATAAGTCACCCTCATTGATATTCTGGTTGATCAGCTGAGAGGCGTGCGCTTTCCCCAAGGCCGTTGCTTCTTCTATCACCTGAAAGTGGAATATTTTGAAGTACTTCAGATAAATTCACAGCTTAGACTCAAAGCAAATAGCAGATAGAACTAGCGGAAACAGTAAGTAAAAAAGTTGTCACCATATTTTTCAGGCAATTTAAATGAATATAACCGTCTTTACTATTCAATGATTTGATTACATATGAAATCGAAGACCAGACTTCAAGCTTAATGAAATAAACGGATTTGTGAGGAATTCTGAGTCACCCTTGACGTAAATAGTATACACTAATAATGTTGGCAATAAAGAGCATTCTGCTGGAAAGTATATATTAGTTTTAGAATAATTTAACCTAAAATTGTTTCTAAAATCGTCTACCCTGTTTTCGCAACTTGGTCCTGGAGGAATGCATCTTGTCCGGTGTCCATAGTATACATAATACTTTCTAGAATTTGACCATGGGCTTGGTACATTCCTGGAGATTTCGCAGGCATCAATCGGCATAGTCAGTGAGCCAAGCGCCACACTTCAACACCAAAAATAGTTGGTTGACAGTTGACGGGTTTTGATCAGATGGGTTCACATGCCG